TCGTGCCGTGCTTCAGGTGCCCGCCGATGGGCTGGAGCATCAGCCTGTGGATCTGCCAGAGTTTGAACGAGGCGGTGACTGCTCGGGCCCTTCCTGGTCACTTTGGCCGTCGTCTCGTGGACCGTCGGCCCGCGCCTGACCTTCAGCAAGGTATGGCGCACACGGTCTACGTTGACAACTTCATCGCCCTATCCCACACGTTGAGCGAGGTACACGACGCGGCTGCGGTAGTGCAGAAGGAGCTGACTGCTTCAAGCCTGCCCACTCACCCAGTGGAGGCATCAGTCGGCGGCGACACGCTGGGCTGGCATTTCGACGAGGACAAGCCCGTGATCGGTCTCAGCGTCCGCCTCCGCTGGCGTCTTCGTCTGGGTATCGGCGAGCTGCTGGAGCGAGGCTGGTGCAGTGGCCACACCATGATGAAGGTGATATCTCACTTCACGTCGAGGGCGCTAATTCGCCGCGAGCTGCTGAGCTGCCTGGGGGCCGTGTACGGCTTCATGGGGGACGGCGGCCGCGAGAGGCGGCGGCTGACTCCGGCAGTGAGGCGGGAGCTGACCTGGTGCCGCGCGCTGCTGCCCCTGTGCTTCCGAGACGCCGGGCGGCCGCTTTCGCCAGTCGTATCTTGCGTGGACGCATCGTGGTGGGGTGCAGGAGTGACTGAGAAGACCATCACCCCAGATCAAGCCCGTCGACTGTCTATCTTCAACGAGCGATGGAGGTTCAGTCGTGATGGAGAGCAGCAGGTCGCCCCGCGGGACAAGGCCTTGGCCCGGGAGAGCAAGCAAGCTGAGCATATCACCACATCATGCATCAGGCACGCCTCGTCGCAGCACGATCGAGATCCAGCAGTCATAGCAGCAGCCATGGAGCAGCGATTCCCCTTCCGAGTCGAGCCGAAGCTTAGTCGTGAGGAGGAGGTCATGTTCGAGGAGGTGCCGGAGGTGGTTTGGGCGGAAGGATGGCATCGGGTTTTGTCTACACCATGGACCAGGAGGGAGGCACAGGTGGTATTGGAGGGGAGAGCGCTAGTCCTATGCTTGAAGCACCGATTGCGAGCCGCTCGAAATTTCAACACCACGCACATCATCTTGAATGACTCCATGGCTCCAGTGTTGGCGTTGCTCAAAGGCAGGTCATCGTCGCCCCCGCTCTTGCGGATCTGTCGCCAGGCCTGCGCCCTCCTGTTAGCCTCGGGGTCTTCGGCAGTCTGGCGTTGGGTCCCATCCGAGCACAACAGCGCCGACCCTGCCTCTCGTGCCCAGGCTGGTGATATCCCCGAAGCCGTGCGGGCCAAGGCATCAGGGCCTGCCGCGCCCGGTGCGCCGGCCCAGGCGGCAGCTCTCCGACGCGATGGCGGCGCCGCTGTCGATGTCGGCCCTCGGCTGCATGGCGATGCCGTCTGCGCCGGCTCTGCGGTCTCGCAAGCGGCCAGCGGCTGCTGTGGCGGCGGCCGCTGCCAGCCAGTCGCGGCGCAGGCCGCGCGTGGCGTCAGAGACAGTGGCGCGCCCAGCCGAGAGCGACCGCCGGGCTGTTCGCCGGCAGGAGAGGGCGAACCGCTTCCCTGCACTCCCGCCCTCGGCCCCCCGCCGGGGCTTGACCTTCCTGGAGGAGCAGTCAGTGGGGGATGCGACCAGGGCGGACTACGAGCGCCGGCACGCTGCCTTCAGCCTGTGGGCCTGCCAGCGGGGCCACTCCTTGGGGGCGCCGACGGAGGTGGACAAGACACTGGCGCTGTTTTTTCACGAGGAGTTCTTGGACGGGGGCGAGAGCAGCGACGCCTGGAAGCTGATGGCGGCCCTCGCTTTCGTGCGCCCGGACCTCGGACCGCGCCAGGGCCGCCTGCCGCGGGCGGCACGGGCTGCCAAGGGCTGGTCGCGCCTGGCACCGCCGCGGTCGCGCCTGCCGCTCCCTTGGCCCGTGGTGTGCCTCATCGTGGAGGTCCTGTGCCGCAGGGGCCTGGCCATGTATGCATGGCTGACCGCGCTCACGTTCGGCCTGTACTTGAGGCCGCGAGAGGCGCTGGAGCTCGTGCAGGCCCAGCTCATCCCACCAGGGTTCACCTCAGCCACAGCGATGCACCATTGGTGCGTGGTCCTCCATCTGTTCGAGAGGCAGACCCCGTCCAAGACAGGTGTGTTCGACGAGAGCTTGCTGGTGGACTCGACCTGTTTTCCATGGATGCCGAACCTCGTCCAGGAGCTGCACCGCCGCACGCCCGCCGGCCACCGCCTGTTCCCAGTCACCTACGCGCAGTGGAACTACCACTTCAAGGCCGCCGTCTCCGACCTCGGCCTGCAGGTCCTGGGCAACCTGACGCTGCACCAGCTGCGGCGCGGCGGCGCGAGCCACGAGCTGTACGCGGCGGCGCGGCCCCTCCGCGACATCCAGAAGCGCGGCAGGTGGTCCACCGATGCCGCGCTCCGGCGCTACGCCAAGGGCGGCCGCGTGCAGGAGCAGCTGCACCGCCTCCCGCGCGCCCTGCAGCTCCAAGCCGAGCAGGCGTTCCGCGGGATTGGCGCCACCCTGTCGGCGAGCTGGCTTCGTGGGTGAGGCACGCCGGGGCCGGCGTCTTCCTGGAAGTCTTCAGCGGCTCTGGGCGGATGTCCGCGGCATGGCGCTTGCGCTTCCAGTCGCAGCATGCCGCTTTTGAGCTGGACATTCGCCACGACGCCGACAGCGACCTCCTCCGTAAGCGCATCAGGCAGCTGGTGAGGGGCTGGGTTCGGAGTCGGCTCATTGCCGCAATCTGGATTGCGACGCCCTGCCAGTCGATGAGCCGTGCCCGCAACCGGCCCAACGGGCCACCGCCCCTTCGGACGAAACAGTTCCCGCTGGGGTTGCCAGGCCTGTCGCCGGGAGACCAGCTCAAGGTTGAGAGAGGAAATACGCTTGCCACTTTTAGCTTCTCTCTCTTTTGGCTAGCGCGCAGTTTGAACATACCAGTTGTAATTGAGAACCCTAGCACCTCTTGGTTGTGGCAGCTCCCAGGTGCAATCCATCTCAGTCGCATTCGTAACACTCGCATTGTAGACTTTGATTTTTGTGCGTTCTCGACCGCGTGGCGAAAGCGCACTCGGCTCGTCTATTGCCATCTCAACCTCGACCCTCTCTTACCGTGTAAATGTTCGGGTCGTGGTGTCTGCAGCTTCAGCCGCCGCCCCCATCAGATCCTCGAAGGCAAAGACGCCTCAGGCACCTTCTGGACGCACATTGCAGAACCATATCCCAAAGACTTGTGTAGGCTGGTGATTAAGTGTTTCCAACAGGCTTTGCGAAACCACTCGTTTCGTAGCCTGGACAGGTTTGTGTTGGCCTAAGGCCAGGGTTTCAAAATTCGGTGTTGCTCGAGTTTTTAGATTTCGGATCGTGATTGTCTCGGGACTCGTTTTCCTTGGTCGAGGTGCCTCGCCCAGCCAGTCAATGTCGCACGGAGCTCCGGGTCGAGTCATCACACAGAGTTGCGGATGCAAAACAGTCCTGGCCCCCGAGAGTCTCCCCGGCTTGCACAGATTGCAATGGCGTGCCATAGATTCTTTGCTGCCTGTGGCGAGCGGGAGGGGGCCGCGGCCACCCGTGCTCAAGCCTCCCACCCACGCTGCGCTCCCACCCATTTTCAGCTCGAGCAGTGTCCGTTGGATCGTGATTGTCTCGGGACTCGTTTTCCTTGGTCGAGGTGCCTCGCCCAGCCAGTCAATGTCGCACGGAGCTCCGGGTCGAGTCATCACACAGAGTTGCGGATGCAAAACAGTCCTGGCCCCCGAGAGTCTCCCCGGCTTGCACAGATGTATGTATGTATGTTTGTATGCATGGTTTGCACATATATATATATGGAGAGGAAGAGAGAGAGAGAGAGAGAGAGAGAGAGACAGAGAGAGAGAGAGAGAGAGAGGGGGAGAGAGGGGTTTCGAGAGAGAGATGCAGCATGGCGGAGGGGGATGAGCAAGGTGGAGAAGTGCCGAACATGAGATGGGGCTGGGGTGAGGGGAAGGGGGGACTTACGGAGAGATGCAAGGAGGGAGGGGAAGGACGGATGGATGCATGGAGGAATTGAATGGTAAATGGATGGAGGGAGTCAATGCATCATAGATGCAATGCAGTGGGCATATTTTCCGCAGTTTGAATCGTAACCTTATGAACCATGTGGTGGGTTCAATTGTATTGCCAATGCATGGGGACTCTGCGAGCGATCTGATCCAGACCGACCTCAAGTGGATGAGAATCGCAAACCACCCTTGGATAAACCGCTTGATTGTTATGAGACTTGTGTTCCTGACGTGCAGCGGGGGGGGACCAATGGAACTCATGGTTTCCATAATTGATTGCCCGCAATAACTTCAGCAGTTCAATCTTGTCGGTGCTTGGTGCGTGGCATTGGTGACATGATCTGCAAGCGAAAGCGGACCTGGAATGTCCGTGCGGGCTACCTGGTAAACTCTATGCACGGGCGCAAGTCATGGCTCCAAGCTGGAGAGATTTTTTCGCGAGGACTATTCGAAATCTGACCTTCTGATGCAAGCACCTGGTGGAACGCGTGCTGGGACGTGCTCGACTGCTGCTTGGTGCATGATGGAGGTAGTGCGTAAGGTGGGTTCTGCAGTTGCGATTCCAATCATTTCGGCAGGTGCGTTTACTTTCGAGCCGGTGACCTTCTCGACTACCCAAGCAATCGTTTAGGTGGTCCAGGCAGCGATCAGGCTTTCGTGCTCCAGCAGTGCGCAAGCAGTCCGTGTGACGCGTGACCAATACCTGGAGGAATGCTAATGCAATCGTAAAACGAAAATGATGGAGGGAGTAAGGGAAGGAGGGGGAGCACGGATGGAGGAGATGAGGGAGGAGGGAGCGGACGAGGAGGGGGAGGAGGAGGAGGAGGAGGAGGAGGAGGAGGAGGAGGAGGAGGAGGAGGAGGAGGAGGAGGGGAGGAGGAGGAGGAGGAGGAGGAGGAGTAGGAGGAGGAGGAGCTGGAGGAAGAGGCAGAGCGCCCCAGTTTTCGCGCAGAGGCTGGGGTCGTGACCTGCTTGGAACCGCTGGAGGTGAGGCCCCATGGGATCTCGGAGAGCCTCACATTTCTGCACGTGGAGGCCAGCCCCGCCCAGCGGAAGGAGAATGATGGAGGAGGACGAGGGGGATAACCAGGCTGCTGCTGCTGACGATGACGACGACGACGATGATGCTGCTGATGATGATGATGCTGCTGATGATGCTGCTGATGATGCTGCTGCTGATGATGATGCTGATGATGATGGGGATGAGGATGAGCTCATCTGACCAATGAAGATTATTGATGCCACCACCAGTGCCCAGTGTTCTTCTCCACTTGAAGCGTACCCCTCGACCCTCGCAACTTGTGTATCCCAACCCTCCTATGGATTTGGGTTTGTGTCTTGAATCCGCACCCAACCTGCTCACCTCCTTCGCCTCCTTCTCCTTCTCCCCCTCCTCCTCCACAATTGCACAATCTGAAGATTACTCTCCTCTCTCCCCCAAAGGCCCCGAGGTCGTAGCCTGCCCCCCCTCCGCGGATTATTTTTTTCACATGGGATCCTCCAAAGGTGGTCGATCAGATATGTTTTTTCCAATCCGAACGTTTTCGGTGTTTCCCGAATGGCGCTCCCGCTACAGCGTTGGCTCGATTTTCTGGCTCTCAGTGCTTCCAACTCCTGCTCCCGCTGCAGCGCCGACCTCTTTCTTTTGCTGCGGATCCTCCTCATCGTGTTCCCGCTGCAGCCTTGCCTCTCGTTTTACGCTTCCGCTCTTTCCGAACAGTTCATTTACATTGTCGTCTTGCGTCGTGTCTGGTTCCCTCCGAGCATGTTACGCTCTGCCGTGCTCTTCTACCCGTACTACGCCGTGCACTACCGTGCATTTCGTACCCTCTCGGGATCATTGCCCTGCTCGACATCCGACTGTGTGAATAGAGAGGATATCTACGCCATGGTGAGGGATGGGAGGGATGGGTAGGACGTCAGATAAGCCGCTTGCGCACTTAGCTTGTCCTTCTCCTCTCCTTCCTCACCCTCCTCCTCCAAATTCTTCGTCTCCTTCTTACATGTGTCCTTTTCCACGAGTAGCATGCTCAACTTCATCCTCATCATCGTCAGCATCCTCATTATCATCATCACCATCACCATCACCATCATCACAACCGTCCATCCTCATCATCATCATCACCATCACCATCAGCCTCACCGCCATCATCAGCATCGCCATCATCACCACCATCATCGTTATCATCACCATCATCATCACTATCAACCCCATCATCACCATCACCATCACCATCACCATCACCATCACCATCACCATCACCATCACCATCACCATCACCATCACCATCACCATCACCATCACCATCACCATCACCATCACCATCACCATCACCATCACCATCACCATCACCATCACCATCACCATCACCATCACCATCACCATCACCATCACCATCACCATCACCATCACCAGCACCAGCACCAGCACCATCACCATCACCATCACCATCACCATCATCACCATCATCACCATCATCATCACCACCACAACCATCACCATCGCTATCGCCATCACCATCACCATCATCATCACCACTACCATTACCATCACCATCACCATGACCATCACCATCACCGTCACCATCACCATCACCATCACCATCAGCATCAGCACCCGTACCATCATCATCATCGTCGTCATCCTCGTCATCATCATCATCACTACTGTGTGGTGGAGGGGGATCAGGAGCGTAGTCTACAAGACGCTCGGGATCACCCCCGTGCCACTTGGGCAGGGACCGTACTGGGCGACGCCAGATTGTGGCTGGGCTCAGGAGCCCCTGCGCTTTGTGCGCGCCCCGTTGGAGCAGGCTTGTCTGTGCTTGCTGAGCGGCCAGGTGCTAGCCTCGTTCCTCGTGCCGAGGGACGGGGAGGAAGAGGGAGGGAGGAGGCGTTGGGAACGAGGAGGAGGAGGAGTAGGAGGATGAGGAGGAGGCACGAGGCGCAAGAACGACGCGGAGGCACCAGGAACGAGGCGGAGAATGAGGAGCAGGCGGAGGGACGCGGATGGCAAGTCTTGGTGCTAGCCTCGGCAGTAGTGCCAGAGGCTCTTTGTTCTCTCTGGTCGATCGTCTGCGAGTGTGCCCCAGGGAAGGGTCGAGGCCGTGCGACCGAGACGCCAGAGGGAAAGGCCTTGGCCTCGGGAGGCTGTGTCGAGCGGGGAGCTCCAGACCTCCGCATACGCGTGGGTCATCATCACAATCACCATCACCATCATCACCACCATCATCATCACCACCATCATCACCATCATCATCATCATCACCACCATCATCGTCATCATCATCAACATCAACATCAACGTCATCAGCATCAACGCCATTCACCATCATCACCACCATCATTACCGCTGCCACCATCATCATCACCACCACCATCGTCATCAGCATCATCAGCATCAGCATCGCCATCGTAATCGTTATCATCATCATGATAACCATCAGCAACATCCCCAACATCATCATCATCACCACCATCACAACCACCATCACCACCATCATCATCATCACCACCTTCGTCTTCATCATCACCATCATCATCATCACACGCATCGCCATCATTATCATCATCAGCATCATCATCGTCGACGTCGTCATAATCGTCATCATCATCACCATCACTGTCATCAACATCATCATCACCACCATTGGCACCATCATCACCATCATCACCACCATCATCATCATCACCATCATCATCAACAACAACAACATCATCATCATTATCATCATTATCACCATCATCAGTTTTCTCGTCATCATCATCGTCATCGTCATCGTCATCGTCATCGTCATCGTCATCGTCATCGTCATCGTCATCGTCATCGTCATCAGTATCGTCATCATCATCATCATCATCATCATCATATCATCGTCGTCGTCGTCGTCGTCGTCATCATCATCATCATCATCATCATCATCATCATTGACGGCCGCAAGGGGGTCGCGTCGCTCGGCCACTTCTTTCCCGCCCTCGGATCGTTGATCGATTTGTGGCCACCGCCCCTGCCCGCGCACCTTGTGCCGCACCCCAGCTTGCTTGCGGGGGTGGTGCACACACATCGTATCCTCAGGAGATGCCATTTTTGTACACCCCCCGCTCGGCGGTCTTGTGCTGGACCAGCTTGTTTGTGGGGGTTTTGTGCGCAAGCATCGCGCCCCCATCACAAGAGGCGGATTCCCGCAGCCCCCCGACCGCCTACAGCGGCGGGTACCTCTGGGGTACGGCCCCCCCCCGTCCCCAGGAGAGTTTTTTTGGATTCGATGGTTTTGCGATGGACAGCGTGACGTTCCCACACCAAAAATCCATGGACGTCCTGGGGTCTCAGGGCTGGGTTTCTTGTGGAAGGTTTCTTGTGGTCGGCCCTCCGCTGTAACAAACGCCCTCAATCACCTACGTCTTAAATGGTTGGTGGGATTTTGCCTATTTGAGAGCCTCTGGTTACCTTTGGGCGTCGTGTGGATCTGTTCGGGCGTTTTTCATCTTCCTGTGGTGTTGGGTCTTCGTTTTGAATGCGCAGCGTCGTGCGCGCGCTTCACTTGTCCTTCCCCCGCCTCTCCCGCCGCTCACGCGCCGGGCCCAAGTCGACACACCTCTCACAAACACCGTGCCCCCATAGGGGAACTCCACCTACAGCTTCACTGGGACCGACGCATCCCCTGAGGGAGCTCCACCTGCCGTCTCTGTGGGCACGGCCACATGACGGTGCCGCGCCCAACCTGGCGCATGCCTCACAATTATCGTGGCCCCTGATCGGAAACTGTAGCATCTATACATTACCAGTTGCGGGCTGTTTTTCAATCCCAGGACTTTTTTGAGGGTCGGGGAAGACGTCGGGGTGGTGCGATGTATCGTTTTTTCCCCTCTCCTTTCCTTCCTCTCTCCCGCTCCTTGCCTCCCCAGGCGGGCGCGCGCGCGCCTAACGGTGGGGGTCGGTGGCTCAGGTCCCACGGTCACGCGCCCGCCTCCTCCGCCTTCCGGTTCCTCTCCCCTCCTCCTCCCCCTCTCTTCCCCTTCTGGGGTACCCCCACAAATCGGCAGGCGTCCTTGCCCGCGCTCGGCGTTTCACCCCCCCTCCCCCTGGGTCTTGGCCAGGGCGGCGGGGCCAGACAGGTGGTGTTTCCCCGTCTTCCCAGGGAACCAACGAAGAATGTATACACCAGGATCTCGTATACACCTGGATCCGATTTCCCGTGTGGGTTTCAGTGCGGGGCCGGAAAAAGTGTCGGCGTATAGTTCGGTTGCTTACCGAGGAGCTCCACCTGCGGTCTCAGTCAGGGCTGGACCTAAGCGGTGTTTCGCTGATCTTCGACTGTGTTTTGTTTTTCGTTTGGGCACATCTTCGACGGTGTTTCGCTGATCTTCGACGGTGCGCAAAAGCTGGTAGAGCAAAACGAAAAACAAAACGAACAACAAAACAAACAACATTTAGGTCAAGCCCTGGTCTCAGTGGGCACCAGCCGCATTGCGGCGCCGTGCCTAATTGGGCACACCACTCACACGGTGCGTGCCCTTCAAGGAACGGCACCTGCGGTCTTCGGGGTCGTCCGCCGCACAGCGCCGTCGCCTCTGTTTCGGCATGCTGCTCGTCGCGGATGTCGTCATACTTGCGCATCCTTGTCGGAAGCTGGAGCAGATACACTGCCGGTGGCGGGCTATTTTTCAATCCCAGGATTCTTTGAGGGTCGGGGACGACGTCGGTGTGGTGTGGTGTATTCTCCAAATAGGCTTGCCCTATGGGAGTTCTAGCCCATCATACATAATTGGTCTTTCGTCCCCCTTTTTCCAATGCCCCCCCTTTTTCCCAACAGCACCCACCCCTTTTTCCAATGGCGCTTGCTTGCTTGCTCTTGCGTGCTTGCTCTCGCTTGTTTGCTCTTGCTTGCCCTTGCTTGTTTGCACTTGATCGTTGGCTTTTGCTTGCTTGTTATTGCTCGCTTGCGCTTGCTTGCTTCCGCTTGCTTGCTTGCGCTTGCTCGATTTTGCTCCTCCCGTTCTCCTCCCGTCCTGCTCCCGTCTTCTGTTTGTCCTTCTCCCATCCTCCTCTTGTCTTCCTCCTGTCCTCTATGTTTTTCCCTGTTTTCCCGGGGCAATATCGAAAAATGGATACACCAGGATCCTGTATACACCTGGATCTGCTTTTCTATGCGAAATTCAGTGCGGGGCTGGAAAACAGCGTCGGTGTATAGAGTTCGGTTCCTTACTTTCGAAAGAGGAAACCCACCTTACACCCACCAGGCTGATTCTTGCATTTTTTCCGGAACGCATGCGGACCTAGTCGGCGCGCCCCCGCGGCGACGATTGCGAATCGCAATGTTTCCGGTTTTACAAATCGTTTCCCAATCATAGATTGCCTCTGTAGGGGTCCTAGCGGATTCATGTGTATGTGACCTACGTCGCTGATTTCGGTGGCTGGCCCGGGTGCCCGGGTGCCTGGGTGCCAGGGGGTGCCCGGGTGCCGGGGGGTGTCCGGGTGCCGGGGGGCCCAGAGGTTCCAGGGGTGCCCGGAGGTGCCAGGGGGTGCCCGGGGATGCCCGGGTGCCCAGGTGCCCGGGTGCCCGGGTGCCCGGGTGTCCGGGTGCCCGGTAGCCCTATAGCCCTGTAGCCCTACAGCCTTATAGCCCTATTGCCCTATAGCCCAAGAGCCCTATAGCCCCATAGCCCTATAGCCCTAATAGCCTTACATTCCTATAGCCCTAATAGCCCTATTGCCCTATAGCCCAATGGCCCTATAGTCCGATAGCCCTACAGCCTCATAGCCTCATAGCCTTATAGCCCTGTAGCCCTATAGCCCTATAGCCCTTTAGCCCTATGGTCCTACAACCTTATGGCCCTATAGCCCCATAGCCCTATAGCCCTATGACTCTAGAGCCCTAGTCGCCTACAGCCCTGTAGCCCTATAGCCCTATAGCCGCTTAGCCCTATAGCCCTAAAAAGTTTATGATTGGGTTATTCTCTGGTATCATTGTATAACACCTGTTTCGTTTGCATTGCGCATTTTTTTGCATGCTTTGCAAACGCGTTTTTGCGTTTATGGATTTGCTCCGTTGCACGTGCGCGATGGCGCAATTTTTTAGCAATGTCGCAGGCAATTTCCTGCGCGGCAGTTTTTTTGATTAAAAAGTTGCGGGTGTTTATCGAACGCGTTTTTGATCTCATAGTAATGTTTCCCCCGGCCTTCGGCGGCTGCATCTTTCGCAAGTTGCCAGGGGCCTCTCTTGGGGCACATGCAGCTGACGACGTTCGCTGGGCCACAGGCTGTAGGAAGAAGCTTTGCACAGATATGCAATGTGATGTTGTGGATGTGGGGGTGGCTTGCTGGCCCGAGCGGTGACGTCCGTGCGGGGCGTCCGCCCATGTCGGCGCGTCACTCAAAACGATCGTTCTCGTTCTCCACCTGGAGCTTCACCTTGGGTCCCAACGCAGATCTTCACTGCGGCCCCAAACCCACGTCGGCACTCGTCTCACGGCTATCAGTACATGAGGATACGGCCTCGCCCTGCGCTGCTCGCATCTGTATAGGTTGGGCCATTCGCCATGCAATTGTTGCATATGCTTTTTGGTGGTTTTTTGGCCATGCGGAGAACCATGTCTGGCCCGCCTACACGGGCGGACACGTCAAGCGTGTACCCCATCAGGTCCCGAGTACACGCTTTTTCTTGTCCCATGGCAGCCGTGGTGCGCGAGCAAACGGAAACATCATTTCACAGTGACGAGAGCGTATTCCCCAATCCGCGCAAACTGACAGTGGAGCCGCACGCATTTACGCGCATAACTTCTTTCTTTCCCTGCTCGGCCACCACGTTCCCAGTCCAATTGGCGGCGAGCAAAGGTGCCTGTGGGGGGGGGATAACCTTCTGACAACGAAGGCAAGGGGCTTATTACTTCTCCAGACCAGTGCCCCTCCCACACAGATGTGCTCAGGGCTTTTTAGATGGATGCCATCTGACCCACCCGTTCGTTCGCCGCTGGCCCCCAGTCATTCTTTTTCATGAAACAGCTGAGCGTATGCTCTCTCAGTCTCTCTCCCTCTCTCTCTCTCTACCTTCGCTCTCTCTCTCTCTCTCTCTCTCTCTCTCTCTCCCCCTCTCTTTCTTCTCATTGTTCCCTCGCTTTTTTGGGCGGCTCCCCTCATCCCTTCCTTGCCGCCATCTTTCCGCCCCAAACCTCCTCCATCTTTTTCTCCATCCGTCTGGCGCCCTGCGAGCGTTTTGTCCTCCCGCTCCTGTCCCCCTCCTCCTCCTTTTCGCCCCCGTATCCCTCCTGCCCCCCCCCCCCCCCCTCGCCTCCTCCTTGCTCTCCTCGCCCCTCCCTCCCTCGCCCCCTCCCCCCCTCCCTCGCCCCCTCCCTCGCCCCCTCGTCCCCCCCCTTTCTTCCTCCTGGGGCCCCCCCCCCTCCTGCTCCTTGCCCTCGAGCCCCATCGTGGAGCGCCAGGCTGCCGACGACGGGTGTGCCGACGAGCACCGTGCCGGCCCCCCGGGCATGGACACCGACCTGAGGAGCGGGGGGCTCCGTCGAGGGAGGAAGAACCTCCTCCTCCTCCTCCTCCTCCGCCTCCTCCACCTCCTCCCACCTCCTCCTCCTCCACTCCCCCTCCTCCTCCTCCTCTCCTCCTTCTCCTCCTCCTCCTCCTCCTCCTCCTCCTCCTCCTCCTCCTCCTCCTACTCCTCTTCCTCCTCCTCCTCCTCCTCCTCCTCCTCCTCCCTCGTCCTCCTCCGCCCTCCTCCACCTTGTGTCGGGGGCTCCGTCGAGGGAGGAAAGGCCACCTCGCAGCTCCTCGCCCTGGTGGTGTGGGTGTCGCCTTCCCGTGCTCCTATCGCCTGAGGCTTCCTCGGTGCTGCGCCTCCTGCACCTTGACGGGTCCAGGAGCTGCGCGGAGGTGCTGCAAGGTCGCTCCGTGCACCGGGGTGCGGAGCGGGGAGGGGGCCCTCCCTGAAAGGGCAGGGCGGGGGGCCCAGCACGGGCTTTGGCCCGCAGACGTCAAGGGAGGAAAAACCACCCAGACCCGATGATTCGCGTTTACTGAACGGCCCTGGGCGTTTACTAAACAGCCCTGCCCTGTTCGATTCCTTGTGTGGGTGCGTTGACTACAAGGCTTCACGTGTCGGGGTGATTGCTATGGGGGTGGATATTCTGCCCTCTTGTTTTTGGCTGCGGAAGAGTGGGTGTTCACCAGAGGAGGAAAAGGTGCCCATATCGCTTCCCTGCGCCCGTTTTTCCACTCTTGGGCCTCCTGGGAGGCCTTCGTCGCCACCGCTGGATTGGCCTCGAAATCCTGGTCAGAACGCACCCCAGGAGAGGTCCGGGGAGTACCGGCACGGATAACTTTCTGTTTCCCCAGCTCACGTCGAGCAAGGAGTAAGGAGGAGGGCCATGAGGATATAGGAGGGGGAAGAGGAGTGCGGAAGAGTGGGGGAGGATGACGAGGGCGGTCATGATCCATTGCCATCACCATCGCAATTTCTACACACTTGTCTTTCGCCAGCGACGCGTTCGTTGTCGATGTGCTGCCCTCTGTTTGGGGATTTCAGCAAACGCATTTTGCATCGGAGATCCAGCTGTCCTCTGAAGACCATGAGCTACTTCTCATGGTTTTGCAGGACTGCGCAAGTCAACGCCTTGTGGGTCTGCAATGTCTGTGCATGCTTCCATCACCTTCGCGCAACCAAGGCAACTGTGAGTGCACGAGCCTCGTATGCGTTTTCTTCTTCTCGCTACTTCATCCACTCTTCACTTGTTCCTCTTACTTCAGGTGTCCTTCCACCGTCAGTGCAACTTCTGCGACTGCCGCTGACATCTACTGCCACTGTCACTGTTACTGCTACTGCTCCTTGTGCTACTGCAGGAATCTTTGCTGCATGCCTCTGCTGCAAACTGCTGCGCATATAGCCGTTTTAGCACTCGTGGCCCCCTGAGGCCCTCGAGAGGTCCTCGTGCACATGTGCGAGGCCGAACAGTCAATCCAAGTGGAGGAGGAGGAGGAGGAGGAGGAGGAGGAGGAGGAGGAGGAGGAGGAGAGGAGGAGGAGGAGGGGAGGAGGAGACGAAGGATGAGGAGAGAGGAGGGAGGAGGAGGAGGAGGAGAAGGGGGAGGAGGGGAGGAGGGGGAGGAGGAGGGGAGGGAGGAGGAGGAGGAGGGAGGGGAGGAGGAGGAGGAGGAGGGGAGGGAGGAAGGAGGAGAGGAGGATGATGGAGGAGGACTCGAAGCCTCGTGTCCAGTGGCCTGACGCTCTGCGGCCCTCGTTGGTTTCCGGAGTCCGGTTCTGCTGTTTCAAACTGCCGTGGCCCGCGACTCGTCGCGGCCCCTCGCTGCCTGGCTCTCGCACGTGGGCCTGGGCTCGATATCGTTCAACGGACTCCCGTCCCCATCTCCATCCCCATCCAGACCCCCACCATCTCAGCAACCCAGTTGGGGATATAATACCTTTCGAACCCCGGAGGAAGCACCCATTATCCTCGTCTTGGGGAGGTGAATCGGCCAGTGGGGTCCAGGCCACGCCCATGGGGATCGGGGTCGATTCAACGATGCTGATGGGCCTCGAGAGCTGGCTTCGTTTGTCCCCGTGGCCTCGTGGCCCCTGGCCCTTTCTGGCGCTCGTTGTGTGGGTGCGGGGCTCGGGGTTCGAATCGGCTGGCCACGTGCGCGCGTGGCCCCTCCCTGCCTCCTCGTGCCTCTGTGTGCGTGGGCCGGGGGCCCGCTGCTCGTTTTGGTGGCGCCCGCGACCTGTGTCTCCTCCTCCCTCGCAGGGCTCTATTTCCATTCCTCCGATTCGACTCGGTTCGATCTCGATGGCCTCCGATTCCGATTCGATTCCCATGTGGATTCCCATTTGGATTCCCATTTGGATTCCCATTTGGATTCGATTCGATTCGATTCGACTTCGGATTCTCATTTGGATTCCGATTCCTCAATGGGCCTACCAGCCTGCCGTTTTCTGCCGATTCGACTTCTCCCGACCTGGCTGCCGATTTCTGCCGATCCGACTCATTTCATTTCGATCGCCGATCCGACTTATCGATTCGATTCTGGGCTCTCCTGCCTCCTCCCTCGTGTGTACCAAAACAGAAGTGACACCACCCCACCTGCGGCCCCAGGGGGCTTTGCAGCGTATATCAGGAGATCTGGCGTGGGCTTTTGCGTGGTGTACGCTACGGCCCCCGATGGGCCGGGCCGTAGCGCAGCATGGAGGGCCGTGGGTGGGGTGGTGTCGCTTGTTCTTTGGTCGACCGTGGTCCTCGTCGCTCGGGAGTCGATCCGCTCGTCCCTGGGGTTCCGTGGCTCCTTGCGGGCTCGTCCTGGCCCTCGTGTGCGGATGCGGGGCCCGCGGATCGCTGCGGTCGCCCGTGTCGCACTGCGGCCCGCTGGCCCTCCCATGGGCCCCTCGTGCGTGGACGAGGATCGGCGGCGAGCGAGGGGGGGAAGCGAGAAGGAGAAGGCCTTCTCAGAAGGCTCGGAAGTCCCCCAGCCTTCTCAGAAGTTTTCGAAGCCTTCCCCGAAGACAGGAAACCTCTCAGAAGGCGAAAGGGCTTCTGAGAAGTCCCGCCGCCTTCTGAGAATGCCTTCTCCTTCTCACTTCTCCCCCTCGTTCGCCGCCGAGAGGAGCCCGCTGCTCGCTTCGGTCGTTCGTCGTCGTCGTCGTCGTCCGTCGTCGTCGTCGTCGTCGTCGTCGTCGTCGTCGTCGTCGTCGTCGTCGTCGTCGTCCGTCGTCGTCGTCGTCGTCGTCGTCGTCGTCGTCGTCGTCGTCGTCGTCGTCGTCGTCGTCGTCGTCGTTCGTCGTCATCGTCGTCGTCGTCGCCGCCGTCGTCGTCGTCGTCGTCGTCGTCGTCGTCGTCGTCGTCGTGCGTCGTCATCGTCGTCGTCGTCGCCGCCGCCGCCGCCGTCGTTATCATCGTCGTCGTTCGTCGTCGTCGTCGTCGTCGTCGTCGTCGGGGCACCCGTTGGTCCCTCGTGGGTGGGTGCAGGGTCCACCCGGGCGGGCCCCGTGACTTCGTGAGCCCCGTGTCCCGTGATCGCCGCTCTCGGCCAAGCCTGCGTGCGCGAGGCGCCCCTCGGGCCGATTTTGTGACCCTCGTGCCCCGTCAGCTTCTCCTCACAAGCGTCACCACTCAAGCACCGTCATCACAGACACATGGACCTCATCATCGTGGTCGTCACCAGCATCGGCGCCGTCATTGGTCTTTCCCGTCGTCATCGTCATCATCGCCACCACCATCGCTACAATCATCATTGTTGCCGTCGTTGCCGACGTCATCATGATGCCGCGCCTGCCCGAGTCACCGACCCGTGTCATGGTGCTATCGGGGCACAAGTGACGGGGACAATGCAAACGGGTGTCAGCCAGAGGGCCAGATCTTGCAGGATCTTGTAGGACCAGGGTCGCACTGACCCGGGTTTGGGTGCAGGATCCTTCAGGATCCTGTAGGATTTTGCTGGATCTTGCAGAGCCTGACCAGGTCTGGATTGACCCGGGTCAGTAGATCCCCGACTCGTGCTCCGTGAGTTTCTCCTCGCAAGCGCCGACGACGACGATGGCGGCGGCGGCGGTGACGAAGATGGCGACGATGACGACGAGAGGACAACGACGACGACGACGTCGACGACGACGACGACGAAGACGATGGACGACGACGACGACGACGACGACGGCGGCGGCGGCGGCGGCGGCGGCCTTCCGCTCCGCGCGGTCGAGCCCGGCGGGCGGCTCCCACTGGACGCGGCCCCTCCCCCCGCCTGCTCGGCTCCTCCCACTCGCCCCGAATTCTTGGATCTAAGATTAAGTCGTGCGTGCCCCCCTACAGAGAGAATATTCAAAAGTAGGCAGAAAATAGTTTTGGGACGATTCTTCGACTGTTTTTGACTAATTGTGAGCAGTTTTGACTATTTTTAACTTTCTCTCAAAATCCGCCTGTAGGAGGACGTGCCCGACCTAAATCTAACAACGCCCCTGCAGGATGGTGTTGTGCTCTGTCCGAGCATTGGCCACCAGAGCGGGCTCAGGCTTGGGTACAAGTGCAGAGAGTCTCTGGCGGGGACCGGGCTGGCCCAGAGAACGCTAATTCGGTTGCGTGTCGGCGGGTCGGTACGCCAGTAGTTCAACACGGGTGGGGTAAGTCATGAGCGCACTGTGTAAAGGTTGTGCGCAAGGGGCCTGAAGCACGTTTGATCACCGAACACAGGCGGCAAGGACATTCCGTGTACTCTCCTGCTTTTTTTCTTCTTCTTATTTTTTATTCTATCCGCCTCCTCCTTTTCCTTTTTGCGCCCCACCTTTGCCTGGTCCTCCCCCTCCTTCTCCTCCTCCTCCTCCTCCTCCTTCCTCCTCCTCGACGTTCCCCCCTTTCTCCCGCACTTCAAGCGAGCGAGGGCGCTGGATATGGCGAAGATGTGCCTTCAGCAGGGGATGCCGCAGTTGGCGAAGGTGTTCATGGATACGGTGCCACGGGGGCAGCGAGGATCCTGGGGAGGAGGAGAGAGCCTGACTGAGAAGAATGGGTAGGAGAGGGGTGGTGGAGCAGGAGGAGGATCACGAGGATGAGTAGGGAGGGGAAGAGACGCATCGACAGCTCGTCTCCACCACCTTGCAATCTCTGCAGCGGGTCTCTCGTTACACTCGCGGCCGATGAGTAAGTCGACCCTGGTCTTCAATGGTATCCTCCTGTCCTCTTGCATTCTTCTCAAGGCCGTCTCAGAAGACTATTGCTCCCTGCGGCTTTTGGTGCAACATTGCCTTCGGAACAGTCTCGCGTCCTATCGGAGGTTCTCTGTCTTCGTTCGCCGCTGTACTAGCCACGTCCGTGCTTCCATATTCGCTTCGTTTCCAGTTTCCACATGGCCAGCTGCGTGCAAGGATGTGGGTTCATAGAAGCACAGGTCCGCCATACACCAAACCAGGAGCATGAGTGGGGGAGAAACGGACCGATGAAGGACGATGACGATTTTGATGATGCCAATGATGAGTATGATGATGGATTGTGATTCGGTTAGCCAGCGTAGACCCCAAATGGTAGGTTCTTGCACTTGTGATGTGCAATGTGCGTGGTGCAAAATGTCTCTTTGTGCAGCCCATGGTGCAACATCTAGCTTACGCAACGTGCACTATGTGTGGTGCAATCGTATGGGTTGCAAACCATGCGGTGCAACCAGGTTCGACCGCACCCGCGCGTGACCATCTCCAATGCTCGGGCAAGCATCCCACCCGCTCACGCGCAACCTGTCGGTACAGCTCACGTTGGCGGCGTCAATGACGATGACAATGACGATGATCAGGCTCATGGCGACTGTGGTGACGATGCCAGCGACGACGATGGTGATGGTGATCAAGCTGATGGAGGTGTTGAGGCCGGAGGCAAGATGACGATGGCGATGCTGACGACGATGGTGTTGGCGAGGATGATGAGGAAGTGCGCGCGCAGCAGTTAGACAAGGTCGACGACACCGACAAGTATGATGATGGCGGCGGTGATGATGCTGTTGCTGCTGAACATCATGATGCTTCTAGTGATGATGTTGATGGTTATGCTGATGATTATGATGATGATGCTGATACTGATGATTATGGTGATGCTGATTATGATGATGATGCTGCTGATGATGATGCTGATGATGATGCTGCTGCTGCTGGTGTTGTTGATGATGATGATGATGATGATGATGATGATGATGATGATGATGATGATGATGATGATGATGATGATGATTGACGGCGACGGTGGTGATGCTGATGAGGACGGCGACATGTCAATGATGGCGCTAGCGATGATAACTATTGTGTCAGGAGCGCGTGCACCATCTCAACGCGAAGCTTTTGGGTTATATGTCTCGCCTTCTTTGCCGCAGTGCTATATTGTGTATTGCATCTTACTGTTGGGATGCCATGCCCACGCCAGTGTCCGATTCGAGGATGCATCTATTTAGCTGGGGAAGAAGGCAAGTGTTTTTTCGTGTGTTCTTGAGCACCCTATGATGACATGATCAGACGGGTCCTGGCGTATTCCCCCCCGCTGAAATGCAGCGTCTTATTTTTCTGGGACGTCTTCGAAACCTCCATACACGCTTCAGGATGTTCTTCTTCTTCTTCTTTGTGTGTGTGTATGTGTGTGTGTGTGTGTGTGTAAGTTCGTGTTGCGGAAGTCTTCGGCCTCCCTTCTTCTGGGCCAGGACCCACATACGCATGAATGCACGTGCTCTCCGTCTCTGTTCCCCAGCTCCCTCACAGCCAGCCCCCGATGGGGGGAGGGGGGGTGCGCCGGGGGGGATTATATACTCCGACGGCAGGACCCCGCATGATAATATGTTTTGCTTGCCCCTTGCTTTTTCCCCCTTCGCCTTGGCGGAGACCCTCCTCCCGTCTTCTGTTGTGCCTCCTCCTCCTCCTCCTCGTCATCTTCACCCCCCGTCTCCTCCTCCCTCTGGTCCTCGCCTTCCTCCTCGTCCTCCTCCCCCTTTTCATCCTACTCCCCTTCCTCCTCCTCCTCCTCCTCCTCCTCCTCCTCCTCCTGCTAGTCGCCATCCTTCTCTTTCTTCCTCTCTTTTTCGTCCTCCTGCCCTGCCTCCCCATGCACTTCCCCTTCCTCTTGGCTTGGGCAAGGCAATTTTCTTGGGCGCCGTTGCCGCCAAGTCTGGCATGGGCGCTTTCCCCGACGGGAAGATCGCGAAGCCGTTTGGGCAGCCCCGCGGGCGAGGCCGTTCGGACAACCCCGCGAACCGCTGGTGCGCGGGAGCCAGTCGTTTGAACAGCCCCGCACGTCTCGAGCTCATCGCGGCCGCGTTCAGGGGCGGGCGCCCGCGCAGTTCAGATTAGCCGCGAGCTGCTCCACCTCAGCCTTGGAGCTCGCCGCTCTCTTGTCGAACTCCTCGGAGCGCCTTCCGCAGGGACGCTGGCGGCCCGCGCTCCCGTATCTCTGCCCCGGGATCAGCAAGTTCCGCACGCGCGTGGCGCGGGGGAACATTACGTAGAGGTGCAGCTGCCACTGCTCTCCCGACGTGCCCTGTGCGGCCAGCGTCCTGAACCGGGGCCCATTCGAGCAGCGTCTGACCCTGCGACGGCGTGGAGGTCAGGTAGGCCGCGTGCGTCAGGGTGCGTCCCGAGCGGCGCACGACGTGCGGCCCCGAGCTCTGCCAGGTGAGCTCCTGCTCGGTTGGATTGAACATGAGCAAGCCCTTCTCCCGCGCTTCGGCCTCGCCGTCGTCGCCAGCGCCGTCGGCGCCTGTAGCCGCAGCTCGGCGATCTCCTCCTGGTCGATCGGAAATGTTTTGAAGCCTAGACGTGCTTTCAGATCCCCTGCGGTAGGTAGCGGGGGCGGCAGTTGGAGGAACTCGTATCAGCCCTCGCTCTTGACGATTCCCAGATTGACGACAAGTGAATGATCGCCAGGCCCGTTCGGATTGGTAATGCCAGCTGCAGGCCCCATACGGAGGGGGCTCCCGCTGGAGTTTTCTTCGCGATTTACTCACAGACGAGGCTCCCGTTGCAGACTTCCTGCGCGTTCAGACCTGGGGGGCCTGAAACTAACAAGAGTTATAAGGTTTTGAATGGCCGCGTCGGATTGTCAACGTGAAGTGCGGGCCGCATAGGAGGGGGGCTCATGCCTGAGACTTCTTCGCAGTTCGCAGACGAGGCTCCCGCCTGAAACTTCTTCCATATTCAAGCTTGGAGAGGCCAGGCGTGGCGATGATTCCAGGTTTCCGATTGCCCGCTCATGCTAGTGACGTGAGCTGCGGGCTCCATGACAGGGGTGCCCCCGCGTGGAATGTCTTCATGATCCACTCGCGCACAAGGCTCCAGCCTGAGACGTCCTCCATGCGCAAGCTTGAAACGATGAATTGTGGCGACAGGTCCAGGACCCCGATGACCCGTTCGGATTCGTATCGCGAGGTGCCGGCCCCAAGGGATGGGGCTCCCGCCTGAGACTTTCTCGGCGCTCAATATTGAAGAGGTCCAACGTCCCGACAGTTAGACGGTCTCGAGACCCGCTTGGATTGGTAGCATGAGTTGTGGGTTCCATATAGAGGGGGTTCCCAGTTGAGACTTCCTCACTAATTCATTCACAACCGAGGGTTCCAGCTAATCTTAGTTGTATCTTCGAGTTTGAAGACGCCAAACGTGACGACAATTAGACGGCCCCGATACCGGTTCAAAGGGGTAACATGAGTTGCGGGCCCCGCAGGGAGGGGGCTACTGCATGATATTCCCCCCACAATTCATTACGGACGAGGCTCCCTCTGCCATGGTCAAGCTCGAAGAGGCCATACAGGGCGATAGTTCAGAACCCCGATGACCCGCCCGTATCAGTAACATGAGCTGCGGGCTCCATAGGGAGGGGGCCCCCACCTAAGACCTCTTCGCAAGTCGTTCACAAGCGAGGCGTGCGCTCGAGACTTCATCAGGATCACTGTGCTGCCGATGTGGTTTGAATCGTGGCTGTGGCAGTATTGTGTGGTGCTGCATGGTGGTGATTCATGCTGATGGTCAGATGGCGATGGCCATGGACATGATGATGAGTGTGAGAATATGGTATGGCCATGACGCTTGTGCGATGATGATAGTGGTGATAGCGGTGGCGGCAGTGATGGAAGTGCTGCTGCTGATTCTGATGACGAATGTGTGTCTGAGTGTGGATGGTGGTCGTGATGATGGTGGTGATGATGACCGATGGCTATGGTGTGATGATGCTGGATGCCATGGCGGCCATGACGGTAATACTTCTGATGGTTATGGTGATGGTTGACTGAGGTGGCGCTCAGGAGTGCGACGAAGGTGATGATGCTGATGAGGATGGTGATGGTGATGGCGAGCGCGAGAAGATGAAAAGAGGGCGGAAAGGGGTGAGGTGTGGCTTCCTGCGCAGGGTGTGCGCGCGCGCGGAGTCAATGTTTTTGTTATCTCCCCCCCCCCCCCCCCCCTTGCCGTCGCGCCCCCTCTCTGGTCCCGGGCCCCCGCCGCGCAAAGGGGGGCCGGGCGCAGGGGTGGACAGCGCGGGTTCACGTCTCCGACTTTTTATATTCAACCCCCACCTATCGCATTTTTTCTGCCCGAGGCGCGCCAATGGGTAGTGCAGGTGGGCCGCGGTTTGCGACTGCGCCAATCCAGAGTGCATGTGGGCGGCAGGCGCGACGACGCTCGTGCAGGAGGCCGGCGCGCGATGCCTTTTGTGTTCCTCTCCGAAGGAGGTCGCTGCGCAGCGTCGCCCGCCAAACGCGGTGCACAAGTTCGGTCGTTGGTGATTGCGAACATTGCGGTCCTGATGCGTGGCGCCTGGCCTAGCAAAGCTACCGAGGCTGAGCAGGGCGTGGCTGGGCTTGGCAGCGCTTGCCGCGGCTGAGCCAGGCTCAGCAAGGCTTGGCAGGCTTGCCGAGTTGAGCGGGGCTCAGCGGAGATTGCCATGGCGTGTCAAAGCTTGCCGGAGCCTAGCAGTGTTCAGCAGGGTATACCAGGACTTAGCAGGGCTTAGCAGATATTGCCAGGGCTAAGCAGTGCTAAGCAGGCTCCGCGTGGTTGACAAAGTTTTCAAGGCCTTAGCAACGGCCGCCAAGGCTTCATACAGCATAGCGGGTCTTCTTAGCACTGGGCTTAGCGAAGCTGGCCGAGCTTAACGGGGCTTAGCAGAGCTTGCCAGGGCGTGGCGAGCTTGCCAGACCTTAGCAGGGCCCGACAGGGCGCGCCAGGATTTAGCGGGATTTAGCAGAGCCTGCCAGGGCTTAGCAGGCTCTGTAGGGCTTAGCAGGGTCCACCAATGCTTCGCGGGGCTAAGCAGAGTTCAGCAGGGCTCAGCAAGGCTCAGCAGGGCCTGCGGCTTCGGAAGGATGAGCAGGGCCTCCTCCCCTTCGCTCCCCTGTCTTCCCCCCATACTAACGATGCCCAACCGAGGATTCCTTGACATTATGCAGATCTTAACGTTGCGTACCGAGGCTTGGAAAGGGGCTTGCTTTTTTGTTTCTGTATCCACATATACATATAGACGTTGCGAAGCTTACCAAGGGCGCGCCAAGACTTTCCAAATCTTACCATGGCTCAATATAGGTTACCAAGGCTGAGGAGTGCGTAGTTGAGAATAGCAACGCTCAGCAGTGCTTAGGAGAGAATTCAAGGGAATAACACTGCTTAGCAGAGTTTCGCATGGCCGAGCAGGGTCTCCCAAAGCTTAGTTATGGGGTGCCAGCATTTACCGCGGCCCAGCAAGGCTTAGCAGGGCGCAGCAAGGCTTGCCAAGCTTAACAGGGCTTAGCAGAGCTCCCCCGGGCGTAGCAAAGCTTACCAGAGCTTCGCATTATCCATCACGGCGTACCAGGACCTAGCAGGCCTTAGCAGAGCCTGCCAGGGCCTAGCTCTGCTTAGCAGGCTCAGAATGGCCCAGGAGGCCTTGCCAGGGCTTGGCATTGTTTCCTATAGCTTAGCGCTGCGTGCCAGGTCTCAGCAGGGTTCGGCAGGGCTCAGCAAAGTTCAGCAGGCATCGCAAGGTTTAGCCGAGCTCAGCAAAAACTTTCCAAGGCTGATCAAGGCTCAGCAAGGCTTAGCAAGGCCAGGCTTGCCACGCTTAACTGGGCTCCGCAAGGCTTGCCAACGTGCGCAGGGCTGAGCGCAGCTGATCAGAGCATCGCACACATTAGAAGGGACCAGCAGGGCGCACCAGGACTTAGCAGGGCTTCGCATAGCTTGCCAGGGCGGATCAGTGCCAGCTTGGTTCAGTAAAGTTCAGCAGGGCTCACCAGGGCCCAAAAGGCCCTACCGCGGCTTACCAATATCAAAGCAGACCAAGTCTTAGTAGGGCTCAGCAGGGGGACCAGCGAAACCCAGCAGGGCTTCGTAAGACGGAGCAGGACTGAGCAACATTTGCCAAGGCTGAGCAAGGCTTAACATCTTGGTCGATACTGTGTCGCGCGGTTGTTTTATCGCACGACGCAAAATCGATGCCATTTGTGTACATCACATGCTGGAGTTGCCGCTCGCGAAAGAGGGGGATATTGATTTGTGCGTCGAGGTGAGGACCCCGCCAACAAAAACACTACCTGCATCGCCAATTTAGCTAACAACCGCCATCGTTTGTATCAGGGGGTGGGGCATGCGCCAGCGCCCGTTCAGAAAACTAAAGAAAAGGTGCTGGGAGTAGTTCGACGTGCCCGCGCGGAAGCACGCGCGTGTGGTGCACGTAGTATCATTTGACAAGGCTGGCGCGCGAGATGGTTGTTGAACGTTTTTGACATGCGCGCCTGCTTGCGGCCGAATTGCCTCATTCGAAGGAGTAGTTTTAAGCCCGTGGTCTTCTTGTGATATCGGCGAGTGCGCTGCGCAGTAACCAGACAGTGTTTTCAATCTTTCGTTGAACAACCATTTTTTAACATGTATAATATATTTATATATACACATATATATATAATGTTAGTTTTGAAAAATCTCTCTGCGAGTTTTGACTAGCACTTCTTTTGGAAGTGTCACAGAGCCATTGTTTCTTGAATGATCCAGACATGCGCGCCTGTCGGCGGGCGCAGGTGCCACGCGCCTTGTTTGTTGCAAGAGGTTCTTCGATAACTACTTCTTCTGCGAATGCACGTGCGCCGCATAATTTTAGGGAGTTTGTGTGGAACTCGCATCAACCTGACCCCCAGCGCGCGAGAAAATCGCTTGTCAACGCGCCCCCAAGGCCCACATGCCGGAGATGCAGCGGGCGCGGCGGGCGCGGTGGGCGTGTCCGAATCTGGCCCACTCGCTTGAGACATCCTTGTAAAAATCACCCCGCGGGCTCCCGTCGCGCCCCGTGGCCATTTTTGGGGTTGCACCAGGTGCGCCAGGCGTGTCCCAATCCGGCGTCCTCGTTAGAGACATGCTTGCAAAAAATTGCCCCACGGCCCCTGGGCGCGCTCTCACGGACTATTACTGGGGATGCACCAGGCGCGCAGGTCGCGGTGCCGCCCGTGTCACATACCGGCGTCCTCGCTAGAGACATCCTCTCGGCGCGCCTTCATAGACCAATTCCTCTGGGGACGCACCAGGCGCGCTGGGCGCGCCGGGCGTGTCCCAGTCCAACGCCCTCGCCCGAGACATCCTCGTGAAAAATACCCCGCTGGCCCCCATGGCGCCTCCTGGTTCCTGGGGTGCACGGGGCGCATTGGGCGTGTCCCAATCAGGCGCCCTCGATCGATACATCCTCGCCTGAATCGCCCCGCAGGCCTTCGGCGCGCCCCCCAGGAAACAATTCTGGGGATGCACCAAGCGCATCGGGCGTGTCCCGATCCGGCGTTCTCGTGAAAGACATCCTGGCAACAAAATTCTCCGCGGCCGTCCGTCTCGCGGCTTTTTCAAACATCGAACAAAACCGTTTCCCGCTCATTCACCTCTCGTCCACAAATGCACATTCTTTCGTCTATATGCAGATAAGAACCCCTTGATCAACCGCAGAGCGGCCGGCTAGTATGAGCTGACAGGGGTGAGGGGGGGAGGCGATACCGGAACTCTCTCGGTGGGGGACGGTAGAGTCTAATTCATATTCTTGAGAGGATAAGAAATATGGGGTGCAATCTATGTGCCGCGATCGGGGAAACGTACGACTCGAGTGCGCGGGAACTCGCGAGCGCGACCTGGATTTCGACGGTCCAGTTTTCGTGGGGTGTTTGTAGTGGGAGCTCGCGTGAAACTTCTGATTGGGTCTCGTCATTTTCATGATGGCACCGTCAGGCCAACCGGAGTCCTCCGAACCCGAGTCTTACGTCTCTTCGACACGAAGTGCAAGCAGGGAACGCAATCTGTGTGCTGCAAGATTCAGGAAGGAAAACACGCACAGACACAAACAATCGTCGACCACAAGGGAAAACAGGAGAAGCGGAGGGGAAGACGAGGATCCAGAACAGGTGGAAAATTGCGGGGGATCCTGGGATTTGTGCCTATTTTTTTTTGTGTCTCCCTGGGCGCCTCCAAAAATGTACAGTGGAGGCCCGACCACAAGAAGCCTTCCACAAGAACCCTGAGACCCCAGGACGTCCATGGATTTTTGGTGTGGGAACGCCTCCCCTCCCCCTCCCCCCTCCCCCCTCTGCGCGCCGCCAAGAATGGCGGCCACGAGGTGGGCACTAGCGTGAGAAAGCCCAGGGTTCGCTGAGGATTGATTCCCCCCCACAACGACGAAAACCCTTCCAAAACCCTCCGAATAGCCTCTTGGAACCCTCCTCCCTGAAGGTTTTTCGGACGGTTTCGGGAGGTTGTCGGCTATTTTGAAAGGAAACCAGTCCCTAGCGAGCCCTGGACTTTCTAACACTAGTGGACACCTGCCGAAAACCCAGAACCGCAGGCCAATGCCACAGTAACGCAATTTGGGGGCTTCAGTGCCAGCGCTGCTTGACATTTGTTCAGATGTTGATACCCTTGGCGATGGTGGCGATGTTGGTGTTGCATTTGGTGCTGATGTTGTGAATGATGATGGCGCGCTGCTTTTCCGCTTGTGCTGTTGCTACCCTCTCCGTTTGCTCCGCTGTTCTCTTAGCGCCAGGTGCGAGATGAGGCAGGTCATGGAGGTCAGGTCAGGCGGATGCCACCGCACAGTTCCTCCTGGGCTGAAGGGAGGCAGATGGGTCGGGGAGGTTAGTGTCACCGACCCGAAGGCCGAACCCAAGGTCAGCTCACCGGAGTTGCCCATGGAGCCGATACCCATTCCGACGATGGCCGGCTTGGGGCACACGTAGGGCGGGGGATGGGAAGGTTGAAGGGAAAAAGGGGAGGGGGGGAGAGATGCATGAAAGGCGAGGGAGGGTGGCGGGAAAAAAGGCGAGGGCGGAAGGAGGGAATGGGTGGACAGGGAGGGAGTGAGGGAGTGAGGGATGGAGGGATGGAGGGAGAGAAAGAGAGAGAGAGAGAGAGACAGAGGGCGGGTTGGCGGACAGGGATGAGCAAGGGGGAGAGGGGGGGGGCAACGGAGGTAGAAGAAACGGAGATGGGGGAGATGGAGGGATACACATATTATATTTACATATACATATTCATATGCGTATATACATTTATGTATATACACACATGCAAACAATCATATACGTATGTGTGTGTGTGTATACCGACATGCGTATGTATGCATGCATACATGCATGTACACATGTATCTTTGTATGCATGTTTGCATGTATGTATGCAATTCTGCTATGCTATGTATGTGTGTATTTATGTACGGATGTATGCATACATGTATACATCCATGTATGCATGCGTGTATGTATGTATGTATATTTGCATGCAGGCATGCACGTGTGTGTATGTATGTATATATGTAAGCATGTATGTATGTATGTATGTATGTATGCATGCATGTATGCATGCATGCATGCATGCATGCATGCATTCATGCATGTATGTATGTATGCATGCATGCATGCATGCAGGCATGTACGTATGCATGTATGTATGTATGCATGCATGCATGCATGCATGTATGCATGTATGTATGTATGTATGTATGTATGTATGTATGTATGTGCGCGTGTGTGTGTGTGTAGGTAGGTCGGTAGGTAGGTAGGTAAGCATGCATGCATGCATGCATGCATGTATGCATGTATGCATGTAAATGCATGTATGTGTGTATTCATACATACATGCCTGCATGCATACACAAGTATGCACGTAGGTGTGTGGGCATGCATGCATGCATGCATGCACGTATGTATGTATGTATGTGTGTATGTATGTATGTGTGCATGCATGCATGCATGTAAGTATGTATGTATTGATGTCTGCATGCATGTATGTACGTATGTATGTATGTACGTATGTATGTGTGCACGTATGTATGTATATATGTATGTATATCTGTATAGATTTGTCTGTCTGTCTGTCTGTCTGTCTGCCTGTCTGTATGTGTCCATGTAGGTGTGTCTGGTTTTTATATGCATAGGTATGTACCGGTATAGTCGTGGGAGGATCCCCCATGTTGTGCGCCAGGACGGGAGTCTGATATTACTGTACACAAATGGCGGTGGTGAATTGTTTGGTCGGGAGACGGGCGGAGGGAAACCAGGGAGGGAGCATGAGGGAGATGAAGAGGAGATGGTGGAAATAATGTGGTAAGAGATGAACAGAGAGGAAGAGAGAGGTCTTGGAAGGTGATGTGCGGAGATGGCGGAGGTAATGGACGGAGAGGGAAAGGGAGGTGTAGGAAGGCGATGTTCGGGGAGGGCGGAGGTAATGTACGGAACGGGAGAGCCACATTTGAAGCCGTCCGCCCTCAATCCATGGAGCTCCTGCACATTTTTTTCAGACGAATGTTGGCGGTGCTACGGAAAGGGCCACATTTTGAAAACCACCCGATCTCCATTTGTGAACCTGTTACCAATGTTTAAGCTTCAGGATCGTAAACTACGGAAGCCTGAGGCGAAACGCCCAGCCCGCCTTTCTGACTGGCTTCGGGGTGCGACAGGGGGGAGCTATTCATTAGGAAGGGGAATGAGTGATGATGACGATGGTGATGATGAGGAGAAGGATGACGATACGGATGAAACTGATGATGATGGGAAAGGCGATTCCGATGCTGCTGATGATGATAAGGATGACGATAACGATGATGGTGATGGTAATTCTGATTTTGATGATGCTGATTTGAGGATGTTGATGACGAAGGTGGTGATGATTATGAGGATGAGGATGAGGATGAGGATGTTGATGATGAAGACGATGATGCTGCTGTTGTTGATGATGCTGAGGGGGACGATGACGATGATGCTGCTGATGTTGAGTACGATGATGAGAAGGATGCCGATAATGCGGCGATGCTGATGATGATGACGATGATGATGATGCTGCTGCTGATGATGCTGATGGCGATGATGCTGATGATGCTGACGACGATGGTGGTGGTGGTGGTCATGATGATGATGATGCTGATGATGATGATGATGATGATGATGATGATGATGATGATGATTATGTTCATGATGATAAGGATGACGATGATGACGGCGACCATGGGACGAGGTGTATGATGATGCTGATGATGCTGCTGATGATGATGCTGATGATGATGAAGATGCTGATGATGATGATGATGATGATGATGATGATGATGATGATGATGATGATGATGATGAGGATACTGCTTCTGCTGCTGCTGCTGGTGATGATGATGAGGAGGAGGAGTGGGATCAGGATGGTCGAGGAGCAGGATGAGCATAGCGGAGGATGGATGAGGAGCAGGGAGGAGGGGGATCAGGAGGAGGAGGAGGAGCATGGAGGAGCATGGAGGAACATGGAGGAGGAGGAGGGAGGGGGATCAGGAGGAGCATGAAGGTACATGGAGGATGATGAAAGATGATGAGGATGGAGGATGGGGGAGGATGGATGATGAGGAGAAGGATTGAGGATGATGATCATGATGCGGCTGCTGATGATGAGGCTGATGATGATGA